TAATGGAATAAAGAGATGTTTCTTCAAGTATTATGCTAAACTATTCCAAACAACTAGAGTTGATCTTGAGAAGATTAAAACATATTTAAAGGAGATTCCACTACCAAAAATAAGTAAGGAATACAAAGATTTATTAAATGGTCCAATTCAAAAAGAAGAAGTGATGAAGGCAATAGAAGAGACAAAGTTGGGGAAGGCGCCTGGGCCGGACGGATTTACAGCGAAATTCTACAAAAAGATGAAAGAAGAAATTTCCCCGGTCCTGGAAGCTTTAACCAACGAAATAAGAGAAAACAAAAAGGTGCCGGACTCATGGAAAGAAGCAATTATTTCTTTGATTCCAAAGGAAGGACAAGATTCAACAAATGTAAAGAACTACAGGCCAATATCTCTTTTGAACAACGATTATAAAATCTTTGCAAAAATTATTGCAGAAAGGGTGAAAAACTATTTACAAACGGTAATTTCTGAAGATCAAGCGGGCTTTTTACCCAAAAGGCAGATTAGAGACAATGTAAGAATAGTAATGGACGCAATTGAATATTATGAAAAGCACCCAGAAAAAGAAGTAGCTTTTCTGTTTGTTGATGCAGAAAAAGCTTTTGACAATCTTAATTGGAATTTTATGCACCAGATGATGGAAAAGATTGAAGCGGGACAACATTTTAGAAATTGTATTGAAGCTATCTATTCTGAACAAAGAGCTAAAATAAATGTGAATAAAGAACTGACAGATAACTTCAAAGTACAGAAAGGAACAAGGCAAGGTTGTCCGTTATCACCGTTATTATTTATCTGGGTATTGGAAATACTTTTACAAAAAATACAGTACGATCAAGAAATAAAGGGCTTGACACATAAAGGACACCAATACAAATATCGAGCATTTGCAGACGATGTAATGTTTATGGTGGAAAACCCAACAGAAAAATTGACATTGCTTTTTCAAAAAATAAAGGAGTTTGGAGAATTGGCCGGCTTTTACGTAAATAAGAATAAAACAAAACTTATATGTAAAAACATGATCAAACAAAAACAAGTGGAACTACAAGAACTGGTACAATGTGAAGTAGTTAAAAAAACAAAATACCTTGGAATTGAATTAACGGCAAAAAATATAGACCTATATAAGAATAATTATGAGAAATTATGGACTAAGCTGACTCAAGATTTTAAGAAATGGGATAAAATGAACTTATCACTGATGGGAAGAATATCAGTTATAAAAATGAATGTCCTACCACGTTTGATGTTCCTGTTCCAAACAATACCAATTCTGCATAAAACGGATTTGTTGGCCAAGTGGCAACAAGAAGTGTCAAAATTTGTTTGGGCGGGCAAGAAACCAAGGATTAAAATGAAAATACTTTGTGATGCCAAAGAAAGAGGAGGTCTACAAATGCCAAATCTTAGACTATATTATGAAGCGGTTTGTCTAACATGGATGGAACAATGGGTGAAGCTTGAGAATGACAGATTGTTGGGGTTGGAAGGACATGATTGTAGATTTGGCTGGCATGCATATTTATGGTATGACAAGATAAAAATGGATAGTTTTTTTAAACTTCACTTGGTGAGAAAAGCTTTGTATATGGTATGGACGAGATATAAGAAATACCAGAGTGACTTAAGACCATTGTGGATTGTACCAGTAGAAGTGTTGATATCTTACTCAAGACAGCGAGGTAAAGACTGGTTGCCATATAGAGACTTAATTAAAAAAGAGGGAACAGAATGGGTAATGAAAAAGCAGAATGAAATTGAATATGAATATGAGTGGTTGAAATATATGCAGATCTATGATCTTTTTAGATCAGACAAAAAAAATTATGGTTTTAGAGATGAAAAAAATGAGATGGAAAATGTATGGGAGAGTGGAGGGGGAAAAATATCTCTAAAATGTATAAGGTATTGTTAAAATGGTATACAGAAGATGAAAAAGTTAAAGAACAAATGATAAAATGGGCTATAAATATGAATAAGGAAGTGTCTATGGAAACTTGGGAGTATTTGTGGAAGAATTCTATTAAGATATCGCCTTGTACCAATGTAAGAGAGAATGGTTATAAAATGATGTATAGGTGGTACATGACGCCTAAGAAAATTGCAAATATGAACCAAAATATGTCAAATAAGTGTTGGAAGTGTAAGAGTCATGAGGGCTCATTTTACCATATGTGGTGGACTTGTGAGAAAGCTGTAGACTTTTGGACAAAAGTCCACAATGAAATGCAAAAAATTTTGAAATGTTCTTTTAAGAAAGCTCCAGAAATTCTGCTTTTGGGACTTAAAATGGAAGAAGTTAATACGACTAAAAAGACATTACTCTGGTACCTGATAGTAACAGCAAGAATGATTTATGCCCAATTTTGGAAGACAGAGAAGGTACCAGAGATCGATGAATGGATACAAAAAGTTCTGTTCATGGCACAAATGGACAAAATTACAAAAAAATTGAACAATAAAGAAGATGATGTGTTCTTTGAGGAATGGAGTGACTTTAAAATTTATCTGGAAAAGAACTGGGATGTGAAACAAAACTTAATATGTTTAGATCAATATTAAGACAAATGATGTTATCTGGAGATTGTAATTGTTATGATATAAAAAATGATATAACTAAATGATGTATAAAATGGGTGGGAGGAAGCATTGCGGGAAGCCACAGAAGGGAGGGGAGGAAAGGGGAAGAGGGTAAACAATGGAAAACGTGAAAATGTTTAAATTTTAAATGGTGAATTTCCTACGAAAATAAAAATTTTGTTTACCAAAAAAAACAAATGAGTTCGACACCCCTGGACTAGGTGTATGCACATCCTGAAGATTTTTGAAAGGGTGCTATGTTTCAGTGCATGTGTAAAGCACTGTCAAGTCACAGCTAACTTAAAGAGACCGGTAGGGTTTTCAAGGCAAGAGGCAAACAGAGGGGGGGTTTGCTACTGCTCGCCTCTGACTAGTGACCCTGGACTTTCTCAGCACTAAACAGGTCTGACCCTGCTCAGCTTCCGAGATCTGATGAGATCCGACTAGCCCAGGCCGTCCCAGTCAGAGCATTCGACGGACTACGTGCCACATATTCAAACCGCACACTGTTGTGCAACATGCAGCGTTTCACGCATGCATGCTCACACAGAACCTAAGAGAAGCCGTGTCGGATCACGCCAGTGGCCCATCCAATCCAGCACTCCATGTCACACAGTGCCCAAAACCCAGGGGCCATCAGGAGCAGTGTTCCCCCTAAGCTGAGTTAGTGTGAGCTAGCTCAGTTTTTTAGCCTCCAGATCTCGGGAAGGGATGGCTCCAGATCGGACTAATTTATGCAGGAGCCAAATCGCTCGCTCACAGCTTTAATGCTGGTAGCTCACAAAGTGGAATTTTTGCTCACAAGACTCCACAGCTTAGAGGGAACACTGATCAGGAGGTCGACCAGCGGGGCCAGAATGCCAGGAGCCCTCACACTGTTGCCCCCCAAGCACCAAAGTATCCAGAGCATCACTGCCCCAGACAGTGTGGCTAACACACATGGTTTTATTGAAAAATATGCAAATTTGCTTTTTTATTAACATTAAATTAGGCTGTGTGAAAGAGCCCCGTGCGGCCCCCGTGCTGCAGTTTGGACACCCCTGAAATATCCCTTGTGGCTAACAGCCACTGATGGATCTCTGCTCCCTTTGAAGCTGTCTTTGCTTGTAGCCGCCACCACTTCCTGTGGCAGTGAATTCCACGTGTTAATTAGTCTTCGGGTGAAGAAGTACTTTCTTTTATCTTATTTTAAAACAACCCCTCACCCTCCTTGCAATACAAGCCCTTAGGGATTTAATACCTTGGGGGTAATTACTTGTTTATCCAGCCCAGAGTGAGTTGTTGTCACCCACCCCAAGCCAACAGCAATACACATCAGCCGCTGCCAACCTCCGAACTGAAAAGACCATAGAGACAGCACCGCAACACCCGTTCTGGTGCTCCTGGATGAAGGCAGATCTCAGGATATTATAGCATTGGGAAAAGTGCAGAAAAGGGCAACTAGAATTATAAAAGGGTTGGAACACTTTCCTTATGAGGAAAGGTTAAAGCGCTTGGGGCTCTTTAGCTTGGAGAAACGACGGCTGAGGGGTGACACGATCGAGGTATATAAGATTATGCGTGTGATAGAGCAGGTAGAGAAAGAGGTACGTTTCTCCCTTTCTCACAAGACAAGGACTCCTTGTGGGCACTCCATTAACTTGCTGAGCGGTCGGAAGTCTTTCTTCACCCAATGAGTGATTCACACATGGAATTCACAGCCACAGGAGGTGGTGGCAGCTACAAGCATGGACGGCTTCAAGAGGGAACTGGATAAACACACGGAGCAGAGGTCCATCAGTGGCTATTAGCCACAAGGTATAGATAGGAACTCACAGTCTGGGGCAAGGGATGCTCTGTCTTCTTGGTGCTTGGGGGGGGGGGTCAACAGTGGGAGGGCTTCTAGTGTCCTGGCCCCACTGCTGGACCTCCTGATGGCACCTGGTATTTTTGGCCACTGTGTGACAGAGTGTTGGACTGGATGGGCCATTGGCCTGATCCAACGTTGGCTTCTCTAGTGTTCTTATGGCCCTGCTGGTGGACCTCCTGAGGGCACCTGGGTTTCGGCCACTGTGTGACACGGGGTGTTGGACTGGATTGGCCACTGGCCTGATCCAACATGGCTTCTCTTATGTTCTTATGGCCCCACTGCTGGACCTCCTGATGGCACCTGGTATTTTTAGCCACTGTGTGACACAGAGTGTTGGACTGGATAGGCCATTGGCTTGATCCAACATTGGTTTCTCTTGTGTTCTTAGAATGTCATTTGCCAGCCCAATTTGCAGGACAGCTCAGAAGTAACCCATCACAAAGTTTTACAAGAGAAAGCAATGTAAGACGTGACATTGTCTTCAGTTTTGCTTAATTCTTGTCCCATAAGCGTGGGATTTAAAAAGTCCGTGCGACAACCGCCGCCTCCAGAGAAGAGAGTTTCTTACCCAGTGCCCCCACTCCGTAAACTCTCGCTGGCCTTAACTCTCGCTCCGCCCTGGCATACTTCGCTGCAGAGACCATCTTCATGGACTTGGTGATCTTCTGGATGTTCTTGATAGACTTTAACCGCCTGGTAACTGCACGGAAGAGAAAAAGTACCGCATGAGGCAAGCTAGAAGCAGACAACAAACGCTCAAAGAGAAGTGTACTCGTTTGGAGTACTGTGTACAGTTCTGGTCACCACACCTCAAAAAGGATATTATAGCATTGGGAAAAGTGCAGAAAAGGGCAACGCTGGTTCCACAGTACTTTTAATGTTTGCCCTCATCGTAATGTTTCGTAAGCTGGAATGATCGGTTTGGCGTTTTATATCCTCGATTCTCTGCTTGACTAATCTTTTTTGCTTGGTCTATTCCAAAGGGTAAGAGTAGCTGGGGGTGGGGGGGAAGGCCTATTTTTTTATAAACTGAAAAGTCCAAGACTCTTCAGCCTTTCCTCACAGGGAAGGTACTCCAATCCCCTAATCATCTTGGATGAAGCACACAACATATTCTCTAAAACAGGTCTTCTGAAAAATAATCCTAAACAATATCCAAACCAATATGTACAGTCAAATGTAGCTAGTCTACTCCAGGGGTGTCAAACATGCGGCCCAGGGGCCAGATCAGGCCCCCGGAGGGCTTCTCTCAGGCCTGCAGTGGAACTGGCAGTCTTCTGCTGCTGCTTCCAGTTCTGCCGCTGCTGCGTCATCGTAGGTTTGCAGCTTACAGATACACACATGAACAGCATACTCAAGACTGCAATGGCACAAACATTTGGATGCAATAATTCAGAGCAAGAGGTGTCAGTTATCAGACACTGTTAAATAAACGATATTGCAATAGTGCTGATGTTTGAAGCATGTTTTTTATTTTAAGTAAAAAAACCAAACCTTTGTGTTTGTGTCCTTTATAAAGTTTATATCTCCACTACCTGGCATTATGTTTTATGACACACACGGCCCGGCCCAACAAGGTCTCATTTATGTCAGATCCAGCCCTCATAACACATGAGTTCGACACCCCTGGTCTACCCCATCATGCATGAGCTCTCTCAACTGCGGGGGGGGGGGATTTTGGGACAACCACCCATGGCGACCGACTACCAAACCCAGCCTACTCCCGTCTCCCCAAAAAGGCCATTTTGAAAACGGAAATACTTACTGTCTTTCAAAGTTGCCATATTCCTAACTTGGACCCTGCAAAAGTAAACATGTTATTGCACACTTCATCTGTTAAGAGTGCTGCTTTCTTCACTACAGTAACAAATACTGAACAGCTGAGCCACGAGGAAAGGCCGGGTACCAATATTATAATTAACTGGTTAATTAACGGTTCAGCTGCAGGACGCTAATGCCTTTCCACAACATTTCATAAATACGTGCATGCCAAAAGCCCACAAATAAAGATGTCTCACCACACATTCAGGTTTGCAGAAAGAAAGCTGGGAAGGATTCTCACAACTAAGGGGGGGGGGAATCTACTTTGCACCATACCCCCAGTGACCGCTATTCTCCTAACCCAAAAAAATAAGCCTAGCTCCTAGAATCTCCCGGCTATACCACACACAATGCCATCTGAACAAATTATTTCACATGGCATTTTGTGATTTTATGATCTGTGATTTTATGTTGTTTTAATCTGGTATTAAATGACTGTTTAACGATACTGATGTAACCTGCCCTGAGCCTACTCATGGGGGAGGGCAGTATATAAATCAAATAAATAAATAAGTTGATTTTTTTTGGGGTTAGCTTCTGAAAAACATCTGGTTGGACACTGCAGAAAACAGAATGCTGCACTGGATGGGTGCCAAGGTCATAGTTTGCCCAGGGCACCCAAAAACCTTCTTTCCCCCCCGCCCAAATGGATCACCATACCAAGGAAATCAGAACTTGCGATTCACCATTCCAAAATGGCCGGGAACCACTGCATTAGATGAAACACTATAATTACCATATTGCCTTGACTGTAAAACTATATATTATAGCATTAGCCCTGAGCCTGCTCCGGAGGGGTAAAGGTAAATGTTCCCTTGCTCGAAAGCCAGTCGAATCCGACTCTAGGGTTGCGGTGCTCATCTCTGTTTCAAAGCCAAAGAGCCAGCGCTGTCCGAAGACGTTTTCGTGGTCATGTGGCCGGTGGGGTAGGGCGGGGTATAAATTGTAAAATAAATAAATAAAACTGCTCTAGGGTTATTGAAAGAAGTCTGAAATAAGGCATCTGCCACAGTGCCGAACCACTTTGCATGTCTCTCCAGTGAAAACCATCGTGTTAAATCCACTCCGACTGGCTACTGACGTTGTGCCACATCGTTCCCCCGCATCTCCGAAGACAAGATGCTCTTCTTCGTGAATATAGAAAGATCACTGAAAACAGAGATCTGCCCATCCAGAAAGACACGGCTGACACAGGCCTATTCAGACTAAGATCCCGATACCCAGCAATAAGATCTGCACAAGCCCTGCAATTGCAAGATTTTGATCTAGAGAATGAATGGTTGCAAACATGGATGGAATCAGTTCCACTCGATATCCATAACCTGATAAACACCCCCTTTGCTACAGTGTGTAGTCTCCACAAAGCTACTGTAAATCCACTCCATATTTTTCTGTGCAGCTGCCAGGGCATTTACCTGTGAGAATTAAAGAAGAGATTGGATTTATACCCCGCCCGTCACTCGGAGACTCAGAGCGGCTTACAAACTCCTTTCCCTTCCTCACTGCGGGTGTGGAGGGGGAAGTATTTGTGAATTTCCTGCATTGTGCAGGGGGTTGGACTAGATGACCCTGGAGGTCCCTTCCAACTCTACGATTCTATGATCAGGGTTCCACATGCAGTCAGAAGCACTCCTTTATTTTGGAAGAATCCAGAGAGCCGCTTTGCCTGCAGCAAAACCCAATTTCAGTCACCCACATGCCCACTTTAAACTCTTCCGTTAGAAGCCATTGCGAAGAAGCTCCCTTATACTGAATTAGACTATTCATTCCTCAAGGTCACTATAGCCTACTCAGACTGGCAGCAACTCTCCAGGGTCACATGAACAAAATTTGAGTCCAGTGGCACCTTAAAGACCTATAAAGTTTAATTATACCCAGAATTAAACTTTGTTGGTCTTAAAGGTGCCACTGGACTCAAACTTTGTTTTATTCTTTTAGACTAATAAGGCTACTCTCCTGAATCTATGAGCACACTGGAATTGCCTTACACTGTCTCAGACCCTATCAAGATCAGTAATATCTACTTAGATTAGCAGTGGCTTTTCAGAGTCCCTAATAAGAGGTCTTGCATATCACCTCCTATCTGGCCTGTTTAACTGGAGATGCTGGGGATTGAACCTGGGACCTTCTGCATGCCAAGCACATGCTCTGCCAGTGAGCCACAGTCCCTCAGGTCTTTTACAGCAAGTGATCCCACGAGCCAGAAAAGCCAGAGATTAAACTCGGAAACACATGAAACGGCCTTATTCTGAATCATTCTTAGTCCATCAAAGTCAGTCTACTCAGACCAGCAGAAGCTCTCCAGGGTCTCAGGCTGGGATCCTTCGCATCACCTCCTACCTGATCCTTTTCACTGCAGATGCTGGGGAATCAAACCTGGGACCTTCTGCATGCCAGGCAGGTGCTCTGCCACTGAGCCACGGCCCCACCCGACCTTCCTCCACCCACGCTCCTGCAGGGCTGTCAAAGCAGACAGTGCTGGGCCTGACGAATGACTACTTAATTCAGAGAAAAGAAAGTCGGCCTGGCCCAGCCATAACCCGGATCTTGCACCCCAGCACTGCTGCAAAGGGCCCCACTGGCTGCCTACCTCTTTGTGCAATAGTACAAAGAAAGGCAGGCGTGCATGGGCACCTCTGAGCATACACAGAGTGCTCCCCTTCCCCCGCCCAGCCACAGAGGGCAGCTAGTGGAAAGCAGGGCCGGCCTAGAGGTGCCCCTCCCTCCTCCCTTTGGAAGGCTTCAGGCCTCGTAGTACCGGGGGCGGCTTCGGTGGGTCCTTCTTTCCGTCTCTCCCGCAGCCTCTTCAGCCTCCTTCACGAGCTGCCCGCCCGGCCACGGCCCCTGAAGGTCAGAGCCGCCGCACCGCGCATGCGCCGTTGCTTCACGCCGGCCCAATCCCGCGTCAAGCCCGTTCTAAGGCCTGAAAGGAAGCGCGGGGATAGTTTCCGGGTCCAAAGGTTACCCTTGGGCCGTTTCCTGTTCCGCAGAATCGTCATATTTCGGAGGGGGAACCCCCGAAAAAGTATTTCCGCCACAGTTGAGTAGAAATACATTTGATGCTTGGTGTTCCGACTCTATGGTTTGCCAACACCGACGAGGAGGGTTGGCGCCATAGAGTCGCCCGGCTAGAGCGGCCCGGCGTCGCATTATAGAGATGTAGGAATATAGAGCTTTCAACACGCGTTCCTTTTTTAAAACGAACAACTTTATTTGTGTTTAAATCTTTAACAAACAAAACAGTAATCCGTTATAACATAGTAATTACGGTATGGCGTAATAAAATATAATATAGTTCTCCTCAAGCGGCCACGTGTTCGATCGCCCTGAAGGCGGCGCTGCACCGAAGCCGCCAATAGAGGTGGCGCTTGAGCAATAGAGTCGTTGAGCTAGAGCGGACTTTCCGGTTTGGGGTTCATCGGCGGACCGAGGGAAAAGTGGGGGGAGTAACATAGAGATTCCGGGGTAGAGCGGCAGAACAAGAGAGAAGGGGAGAGACAAGCCCGTTCGCCATTTCCGCTTTCCGGCCAGCTGTTCTCCCAGAGAGAAGCAGGAAACAAACCGAAGGCGCGGGATCCCCCCTTCTCTTGTTTTCCAGCATGGGGAAGACGGACTTCCTCAGCCCCAAGGCGATCGCCAACCGCATCAAATCGAAGGGGCTGCAAAAGCTGCGCTGGTATTGCCAGATGTGCCAGAAGCAGTGCAGGGACGAGGTGAGAGGGGGACCGGGGTGGGGGGGAATGTGAAGTGGAGCCTCCTTGTTCAGGAGCAGTATACCCGAGGATGTCAGAACCCCAAAAGGGTTGTTGGCGGTCCTTTCCTACGAAGAAAAGCTGAAGAGTTTTTTTCAGGACAGCTGCGGGAATCATAGAATCAGAGAGTTGGAAGGGGCCATACTTCATTAAGTTTTATTAAGTTATATACTGAATTTTAATGTTTTTGTATATTTGATAGCAAGGAACAACAAAAAACAACTGTGAGCTGAATTACCCGCAAAAGTATATCCAAAAGGAGACTTCAACAAAGTGAAATGCACATGTAATCAGTAATGAATCTATACATATAATCCATCATGGGAAAATACAGAAGTCCACGGGATCCATAGAAGGAAAAAAACAAAGTCCAGAGTAAATATCCAACACTTTCCCTAGGTAGTATGCAGTGTTTCAGACTTCTAGTCCTTCCTCAGGAACAAAGAACTATAGAAGTATAAAATACAATAATGCTTTTTTAACATTACTTATTGACCATATTTCACAAAATTGATCCCAACAATACAAAAGAATCATACTAAATACCTATTATTATCACTGTTGCACAGAATCTCATTGAATCTTACCAACTACAGGAAGTCTCATTCCAATTTCTTTACAGGACAATAATATTCAGTTTCTCTGTAAAAGAGAATACCTCCTTAGAGTATTTAAAAAAACAGCACAATGTATGGGCCACGAAGCCACCAATATATACTCACTTATGGGCCAGGTCTCCTAAGCTTTAATGTGCACCTCTCAAGGTTGCTTCTATGTAAACAGGACCACACATGCCACAGAGTCTCCGGCCTACTAGGACTGCTTTATGAATCTACATTGAGTGCAGCTGGTAGTATCCTGCTCAATTTTAAAGTTGCAAATATAGTCCAATCCCCTCCTCAATGCGGGATCAATGTTAGAGCATTGCTGACAAGTGTTTGTCCAGCCTCTAATTAAAGACGACAAGCACACAGGGAACACTGTGTTGAAATAATAAACACAATATTCACATGTACTTATAGCTTGCTAGCTGAATCACCTCATGGGAAAATACATCTACTAGGCTTGCTTGCTAAGCTGAATCATCACAGTGAGAAGTACAAGCTGCCTGCTAGCTTTACCTGATGGATCATCACTTGGGAAATGTACAATAGGTTGCTGCATTGTTCGGTACAAATAACTGTACATTGGTATTTCTCCTCCATCAGGAAGAAGACAGTTGGACTCTTCATGTTATATAACTTAGTTTGAAAGTGTTTGAAATGTGATGTTGTAGTTTGAAAGTGTTTACAATACACTAGCTATAAGTACATGTGAATATTGTGTTTATTATTTCAACACGGTGTTTTCTGTGTTTATCTGCTTAAAGACGGCCAGGGAGCGGGGGAGCTGATTCCACTGTTGCACAACTCTGACAGCAAAAACGTTTTTCCTGATATCCAGCCAGTACCTTCCCGTCCTTAATCTAAACCCATTCTTGCGAGTCCTCTCCTCTGCTGCCAACAGGAACAGCTCCCTGTCCTCTAAGTGACAGCCCTTCAAATATTTCAAGAGAACCATCCTGTCCCCCCTCAACCTCCTCTTCTCCAGACTGAACACCCCCAAGTTCCTCAGCCTTTCCTCGGGGGTCTCCAGGCCCCCGATCGTCCTCATCACCCTGCTCTGCACGCGCTCCATTCTGAGTACATCTATTTTGAAGATAGGCCTCCAGAAGCAATGGAGACTTACATTGTTCTGTGTGGGAGTGAAGAATGTGGATGAAAAGAAACGTTTTCTCTTTCTCTCTTCCAAGAACTCAGGGGCCTCCAGTGAAATGGCTGTGCGGGAGGCAGTCAAAAGGAAATTAATGCTTTGTGCAGCTTATGGAACTCCCTGTCACAAAACTGAGTTGTTTATTTAGGGTACCAGATGTTCTCTTTCCTTTGTGTCCATTCTCTTTCAGACACTTTTTCAAAAACAGATGAAAATGTCCACTTTTTGGGTTGGAAGGTTATGAATATTCCTAGTTAGTAGCAATGATCACAGCTTAAGTAGTAGTAGTAGTAGTTGTTGTTCAGTCGCACAGTCGAGTCCGACTCTTTGCAACCCCATGGACCAGATCACGCCAGGCCTTCCGGTCTTCCGCCGTCCTCTGAAGTGTGCTCAATTTCATGTTCGTTGCATCTATGACACTGTCTAACCATCTCGTCCTTTGCCGTCCCCGTCTTCTTTGACCTTCAATCTTTCCCAGCATCAGGGTCTTCTCCAGTGAGTGCTCCCTTCTCATTGGGTGGCCAAAGTAGTTGAGCTTCAGTTTCATTATCTGGGCTTCCAGGGAACAGTGAGGGTTGATTTCTTTTAGGTTTGACTGATTTGATCTTCTTGCAGTCCAAGGGACTCTCAAGAGTCTTCTCAAGCACCATAGTTCAAAAGAATCTATTCTTCGGCGCTCAACCTCCCTTATAGTCCAACTCTCACAGCCATACATGACTACTGGGAATACCATTGCTTTGACCATGCGGACTTTTGTTGGCAGGGTGATGTCTCTACTTTTTATCATGCTGTTTAGGTTCGCCATCGCTTTCCTCCCAAGGAGCAGGCGTCTTTTAATTTCATGGCTGCTGTCACAGTCTGCGGTGATCTGGGATCCCAGCTTAAGTAGTAGGGGCATTTGAAATGAGGTTTGTCACAGTGATCACTTGTTTGAAGTTGTCAGTCGGGAAATATATCCTCTTTTTTGCTTTTCCAAATATGGTAACCCTAATTTATATATTTGCATTGCTTGTAGTCTGCCTTTGTAGTTAGTCAAGATGCATAAGTAACTGAGTGATTATAGCTAAGATTGTATGAACGCAGTTGGTAAGACCTGTGAATAGCAGCAAATCAGCATACAAATGAAAGAATTAACAACAGATGTAAGAACTAAGTTTGAGTTCAGTGTCACCTCCAAGACCAACAAAGTCAAGTCAGCCTTTATTGGCATAAAATATCAGTACCATTTATACAAAACAACAAAGTTTAATTCTGGGTATAAGCGAGAACTGTGGGTGACTTAACTTGTATAGAAGAAGAGGAGATTGGATTTATACCCAGCCCTTCACTACCCGAAGGAGTCTCAGAGCAGTTTACAATCCCTTCCCCTGCCCACAACAGACACCCTCTGAGGTAGGTGGGTCTGAGAGAGCTCTACCAAGAACTGCCCTTGAGAGAACAGCTCTGGAAGAACTTATGACTGACCCAAGGTCACACCAGCAGCTGCATGTGGAGGACCTGGGAATCAAACCCGGTTCTTCCAGATTAGAGTCCGCACTCCTAACCACTACACCTAACTGCCACAGCACACTTTTTCAGATACATTAAAAAAAAAGACTTCATCAAGCATTACATATAGTTAGAGAGAAGGTGGTGGCAGGATGTGAGGCAGTGTACTCCAAATCCCTCTAAAGGGTTAATGCTAATAGTAAGGGTCCCATTCCATCTTGCAGGTGTTGCTAATTGGGTCTCTCGGCCAATATAGTTGGCCGAGAGCCAGTTTGGTGTAGTGGTTAAGTGCGTGGACTCTAATCTGGGAGAACCAGGTTTGATTCCCCACTCCTCCACTTGCAGCTGGCTGGATGACCTTGGGCAAGCCGTAGTTCTGATAAGAGCTGTTCTTGAAAAAGAGCCGTTTCTGTCAAGAGCTCTCTCAGCCCCGCCTGCCTCACAGGGTATCTGTTGTGGGGAGGGAAAGGGAAAGGAGTTTGTAAGCCACTCTGAGACACCTTTGGGTAGTGAAGGGCGGGGTATAAATCCAATCTCCTCTTCTTCTTCTCATCTTCAAGGCCAGAGCTAGGAGCCTGGCAGTTAACTTTCCATGAGAACCTGGGGGAGGTGGAGAATCAGGAGTGATAAGATAATTTTTTAGAGGTTTCCATCAAGACAGTGTCCTGATTGGGTATCATCATCACCTGGTGCTGCTTAGCCACCAATCACTACCGAAGGAGTCTCAGAGCGGCTTACAATCTCTTTCCCTTCCTCACCACAGATGCAAGCAAAACTCGTTCCCCCAAACCAACAAAATTAAATTTCCTGTATTTATAAAGAGAATTCAGCTGTCACTGCAGGGTTTGCAGCAGTGGTCATTTTGTAGACAAAGAGATGCAGGAGCTCATTAGCATAGCTCATTAACATAACCTATTTGCATATGCCACACCCCCTGACATCACCGGAAGTGTGTCAGAAGGCAACACCCACCGCTCAGGCTCCCCTGGACTGTTTTGGATTGCTAGCTATTGGGGGGAGGGAACGTGCAGATCTGTCCTCGCAGAGGAGGGAGAGCTTGTACCTGAATAAAACTTGGTCTTAAAGGTGCCACTGGACTGTTGTGGGTGGGGGGCTTTTGGGGGGTTGTCGCGCGGCGGGGGGGGGGGGGTGCAGATCTGTCCTCGCACAGGAGGGAGAGCTTGTACCTGAATAAACCTTGGCTTTAAAGGTGCCACTGGACTGTTTTGGACTGCTATCTATTGGGGGGAGGGAACGTGCAGATCTGTCCTCGCAGAGGAGGGAGAGCTTGTACCTGAATAAACCTTGACCTTAAAGGTGCCACTGGACTGTTTTGGATTGCTAGCTATTGGGGGGGGGGCGTGCAGATCTGTCCTTGCAGAGGAGGGAGAGCTTGTACCTGAATAAAACTTGGTCTTAAAGGTGCCACTGGACTGTTGGGGGGGGGGGGCTCTGCAACTTACCTGGCTGCTTCTTGCTCTGACTGAAGGCTGCTGGGAGCAGGGGGTGGGGCTTGTTGCATGTGCCCACCCCCTGGGCTCTTTACTGCCGGAGCTCCGCTCCTGTGCGCTCCTGCAGGAAATGACCCCTGGTTTGCAGTCTTTTAGACGAAAGAAATCTATTTATTTACATATCGAATAAACAACGCCTGGCTAATGACAGGTCTGCCTTGTGGTTCTGTACATAAATGTCTGTTCTAATAATCTCTCAGCAGTAAAACAATTTTGCCTAAAGGCTTATTGCAGGTTTTAACGGTGCCGTTTGCCAGTCCTTGATCACAGTTGTGTTTTTCTATTGTTTCATTTGCCTAGAATGGCTTTAAATGTCATTGCATGTCCGAGTCTCACCAGAGACAGCTACTGCTTGCCTCGGAGGACCCTCAGCAGTTCATGGATTACTTCTCAGAGTGAGTGCAACCCATATTTTGGTTCGGACTTTCCTGTTCCTTGAATGATGTTGGTGTCTTTTTGGCAAAAAAGTTGTTTGTGATTCCCACCTACAGGGATCTCCAGTGCGGTGCCCCTGGGCCCCCTGGCCCCCACTAGCACCTTTCCTGATGCCCACTGGGCATTTCTAGAAAGTGGGTGGGGCCAGATGGGGATGTGGTCCAGCCGGTCTTCTGATTGGCTGTGTCGATTAAAAGCAACACTGTTTTAGCAGTAGCTGCCGCCACAGTCTTGGGTGTGTCTAGTGTAGTGGTTAAGTGCGCGGACTCCAATCTGGGAGAACCGGGTTTGATTCCCCACTCCTCCACTTGCAGCTGCTGGATGACCTTGGGCAAGCCATAGTTCTGTCAGAGCTGTTCTTGAAAAAGAGCAGTTTCTGTCAGAGCTCTCTCAGCCCCACCTACCTCACAGGGTGTCTGTTGTGGGGAGGGGAAGGGAAAGGAGTTTGTAAGCCGCTCTGAGACTCCCTTGGGTAGTGAAGGGTGGGGTATAAATCCAATTTCTTCTTCTTCATTCTCTTTCACTTCTTTCTCTGTGAGGCAAAGCACTCTGGGCCTCCTCCAGGCCTTCCAGTGTTGAAAAGATGGTCCTCTCCATACTCGAAGGAGCAGCCTTCCTTGAATTGTACGAAGCAGTCAATCATAGTGTAAAAAAACTCCCCCCCCCCCCCCCCCGAAAAAAACCAGCACTATGCATCCATCAGCTGTGCTGAATGTTTCTGTGGTCAAACACTGGTAGGGTCAGGAGACAGAAGCCTTGTGCTGCCTGGTAGTCCTGTGTATAATTCGGTATCTTTCGCTTTTGATGATGAGTCCTGTGATGACAGTATCGCTCTTGTCTGATGAAGAGGAAGAAGAGAAGAGATTGGAGTTATACCCCGCCCTTCACTTGGAGTCTCAGAGCGGCTTACAAACTCCTTTCCCTTCCCCTCCCCACAACAGACACCCTGTGAGGTGGGTGTGACTGAGAGAATTCTGACACAAATGCTCTTTTTCAAGGACAGCTGTGCCAGAGCTTGTGGCTGACCCAAGGTCACATCAGCAGGTGCAAGTGGAGGAGTGGGGAATCAAACCCGGTTCTCCCAGATTACAGTCCACGCACTTAACCACTACACTGAACTGGCTCTCTATAAGAACTGTTTTGGCGGAGAGACCCAATTAGCAACACCTGCAAGATGGAATGGGGCCCTTACTATTAGCATTAACCCTTGAGAGGGATTGGGAGTATATTGCCTCACATCCTGCCACCACCCTCTCTCTAACTATATGTAATGCTCGATGAAGTCTTCTGTGTAACTCAAAAACTAGCACACTTGTACATAAAAATAAGCTTGAGTCCAGTGGCACCTTTAAGACCAATAAAGCTTAATTCTGGTTATAAGCTATCATGTGCGTGCACACTCCTTCAAATGTATATAATGCGTAATATGTACAGCTAGGAAAAAGGCCCGTTGTAGAAATAAATACAACGGCCTCTAGAAAGAGGCTCTGGGCGGGTGCCCCGGCCTTGGACACTCAGTGTCAATTTGCTGTGGCGACCTCAGCAGGGTATAATGACACTGAGTCCACCATTTTCTCCAGAGGAACTGATCTCTGCTACCTAAAGAACGGTTGTAATTTTGAGTGATCTCCAGCCCTCACCTGGAGATTGGCAATGATGGTTCCCCAGAAGGTTTGGAGGGTGGAGTCTATGGCTTTGTACCTGTCCAAGGTCCCACGCCTCCTGAAACCTCACCCTTTCCAGGCTCCATCCCTCACATCTCCAGGAATTTCCCACCTGGAGTTGGCAACCCGATCTCCTTCCCAGCCAGTCATCAACCTACCTTTATTTCCCCCTCACTCTTCAGCTTTCCACCCCCCACACACCTGCAGCCTCTCCCGTGCTCTGAAGCCCTGACTGCTACGTCACATTGGCTGTCATACGGGGGCCACCTCAGCAGCATATAAGGATACAGAGCCCACCATTTTCTCCATGGGAACTGATCTCTGCCATCTAGAAACCAGTTGTAATTCTAAGTGATCTCCAGCCCTCACCTGGAGATTGGACACATTTTACCTCAGAAGAGCAAACTGTTTAGAATGTTAGAGGCAAAAGCCAATCAAGTCGCATATGCAAACGACCTCTGTGTTCCGAGGCAGAGGCCAATGAGGCTGCATATGCAAATAACCTCTGTATCCTGACTGGCTATGGGGGGGAGAGGAACAGCAAACTGTTTAGAATGTTGGAGGCAGGACTCAGGCAAAGCAGCCAGTGGATAGGGAGACCCTCTGAATGACAGATCAGAGAGTGAACTGATTTTGGAGCGTGTGGAATGTTCTAGAGAAGTGCCACCACCATTTGGCTTTTATTTATAAGGGAGATGTATCAGAAAAAGTGTGCATGCATACAAAAGTTTATACCCAGAATTAAACTCTGTTGGTCTTAAAGGTGCCACCGGACTCAAACTTTGTTCTGCTGCTTCATACCATCACGGCCACCCACCTGAATAAAAATAAGCTGTTGCCTCATATTTCCTTAACGTATACAGCCTCAAGCCTTTGTGCCAAATTGCTAAAACTATGTTTTGTGTGTTCCCTTAGGGAATTCCGGAACGATTTCTTAGAACTGCTCCGAAGACGATTTGGTAAATCCCTTTGCTGTCATGAAGCTTTGTTTGTCCATAAATCTGTCGAAAGTGTCTTCTGTTCAACAGCAGATTTGCATTTAACGGTGTCGTCGTCTCATTCTAGGAACGAAGAGAGTCCACAATAACATCGTGTACAATGAATACATAAGCCATCGGGAACATATCCATATGAACGCCACTCAGTGGGAAACACTGACCGATTTTACCAAGTGGCTGGGGAGAGAAGGTAATTTTATTTCCTGTCCGGCAAACTTCTGGGATAGTTGTCTTCCAAAGAAGCATTTTTAGTAGCCTTGCCAATGAGAAAAACCAGGAACTTTGATTCAAATATTCTAATCAGGGATTTCCAAAATTCTCAATTCCGGTGTGGCGATATTGTGGCTAGTGTATTCAGTAGTACTATAATGCAACAAAGTCTGAGTCCAGTGGCACTTTGAAGACCAACAAAGTTTAATTCTCTAATAATTTTTCTACGTATTTTGGTGAATCCTTTAGCACAGCGCGAGCCTATGGCCTGATTCTGATACTCTTCTGATGATCGATATCCTAATTATTCCAAAAATTGGAGTCCAGTGGCCCTTTGGAGACCAACAAAGTTTAATTCTCTAATAATTTTTCTACGTATTTTGGTGAATCCTTTAGCACAGCGCGAGCCTATGCCCTGATTCTGATATTCTTGGTGATCGATATCCTAATTATTCCAAAAATTGGAGTCCAGTGGCACTTTGGAGACCAACAAAGTTTAATTCCCTAATAATTTTTCTGAGTTTCTTGGTGAATCGCACAAGCCTGTTGCCGGATTCTGATGTTCTTCTGATAGTCGATATCCTATTTATTTCAAAGTTTGAGTCCAGTGGCACTTGAAGACCAACAAAGTTATTTTTTATATTTTTTTTGTTTATTAATTCGATTTATACCCCGCCCTCCCTGCGAGCAGGCTCAGGCTCCGTGAGCAAGTTAGATTCTGGGTATAAGCGTTTGTGTGCATGCACACTTCTTCAGAAGAGATGTGCATGCACACAAAAGCTTATACTCGGAATTAAGCATTATCGGTCTTCAAGGTGCCACTGGACTCAAACTTTGTTCTATTGCTTCAAACCACCATGGCTATCCACTGGAACCAGTAGTATTGTAGATAACGGTAGTATTGTGGATGGAGAGGCAGTGTGCTATAATGGTTAAAGTGTTGGACTTGGCTCTGGGAGACCCAAGTTCAAATTCCCCTCTGCCATGGAAGCTTGCTGGGTGACCTTGGGCCAGTCCCTCTCTCTCTCAGTCTAATGTACCTCGCAGGTAGGGTTGCCAGCTCCAGGTTGGGAAATTCCTGGATATTTGGGGGGTGGAGCCTGAGGAAGGTGGGGTTTGGGGAGGGGCGGGACTGCAATGGGATCTAATGCCATAGAGTCCACCTTCCAAAGTAGCCATTTTCTCCAGGGGAACGGATCTCTGGAGATCATTTCTCCAAGTTTTACTATTCTATTGTTATTCATTATGTAGACTCCCAGCTTGCTGCTGCATTCTGCCTTCTCCTCCTCCTCCTCCCCCCCCCTTCCTCCTCCTCTTCTTCTTCTTCTGCCTCTCTCAAGACCGTAACGGTTGTGATGTGGTTTTTAAGGCTTCTGCAAGGTGGACGAAACCCCCAAAGGCTGGTACATCCAGTACATCGACCGAGACCCTGAGACGATCCGCCGGCAGCAGGAACAGGAGAAGAAGAAAAAGCAGGACTTGGACGAGGAGGAGAAGACGGCCCGGTTCATCGAAGAGCAAGTCAGGAGAGGCCTGGAGGGGAAGGAGCAGGTGGGGGCCCGGCCACGTGAGCTGGATTCTGGCCACGGACGTTCTCGTGTCCAATTGGAGCGCCCCGTGATATTGGCAGCCCAGCCCACCAGCATCCCTGCCTTTCTGCCCCCATTTCCCAATGTATCCCTGGCTGTGACCTTCTGTTGCAGAACTTAATTGGGGAGGGGATGTGGCACGGTGAAGGAGCCTCTGCTTGGCACGCAGAAGGTCCCAGGTTCAATCCCTGGCATCTCCAGTTAAGGGATCAGGCAGGAGGTGATGTGAAGGAGCTCTGCCTGAGACCCTGGAAAGCCGCTGCCAACCAGAGTACACAATACTGACCTTGATGGACCAAGACCATTCAACATAAGGAAGTTTCATGTGTTCATGTATGCTTAGGGATGCACTTTAGGGAGGGTTCATGGCTCAGTGGTAGAGCATCCGCTTGACCCACAGAAGGTCCCAGGTTCAATCCCCGGCATCTCCAGTTTAAAAGGACCAGGCAGTAGGTGATGTGAAAGACCTCAGCCTGAGACCCTGGGGAGCCATGAAGTGGGACTGTGACTCAGTGCTAGAGCATCTGCTTGGCACGCAGAAGGTCCCAGGTTCAATCCCTGGCATCTCCAATTAAAAGGACCAGGCAGTAGGTGAAGGGAAAGGCCTCTGCCTGAGACTCTAGAGAGCCATGAAGTGGGGCTGTAGCTCAGTGGTAGAGCATCTGCTTGACTTGCAGAAGGTCCCAGGTTCAATCCCCGGCATCTCCAGTTAAAAGGACCAGGAAGCAGTGATGGGAAAGACCTCATCCTAAGACCCCGGAGAGCCACTGCCAATCAGAGCAGACATTACGGATTTTGAGGGCCGAGGTTCTGATTCAGTATAAGGCAGCTATGTCTGAGAGTTCCGTTCAGGGGAGGGGCTGTGGCTCAGTGGCAGAGCCTCTGCTTGGCATGCAGAAGGTCCCAGGTTCAATCCCCGGCACCTCCAGTTAAAAGGACCAGGCAGGAGGTGATGTGAAGGACCTCAGAAAGAGATGCTGGAGAGCTGCTGCCAAGTCAGAGTAGACAATACTGACCTTGGTGGCCTTTTAGTCTCATTCAGTCTGAGGCAGCTTCATGTGAGAGTTCCATGCAAGGGAGGGGCCATGGCACGGTGGTAGAGCATCCGCTTGGCATGCACAAGGGACTGTTTATTGGGTGTCTCCCTTTGGATTTCCTGCTCAAATGCCTTGGGCTTTTCTGCCTTTTGGCTCCTGTCCTTGACGTCAAACTCTCAGTATCCTTTGAATCTATGGCCACTGCAATGGCGGCCAGCAGGGCTGATTTTGACCCCCTACTGATGTCAACGATGGCAAAAGCTCACACACGCCATGAAACTGTTTTGACGTTCTCTTGTAGGAAACCCCGGTCTACACAGAACTAAACCGAGACAACGACGAAGAGAAAGGTAAGGAGATGTCTGACTTTAAGCAGTGCTAGATTTCTGGAGAGGTGTACATGATCTCTCAGCACAATGCAAGATCCCCGCGGTCATGTGCAGGGCCCTTATTGTTCTCACTTTGCACATAGAACTACTGTGGGACAGTGGTTAGACTGACAGACAAAGATCTGGGAGCTCTGAATGCAAATCCCCACTCTACCATGGAAGCGTGCTGGGTGACCTCGGTCTATTCACTTTCAGAGTTGTTGTGAGAACAGAACAGGGAGTAGAGCCAGTTTGGTGTAGTGGTTAAGTGCGCAGACTCTAATCTGGGAGAACCGGGTTTGATTCCCCACTCCTCCACTTGCAGCTGCTGGATGACCTTGGGCAAGCCATAGCTCTGATAAGAGCTGTCCTTGAAAAAGAGCAGTTTCTGTCAGAGCTCTCTCAACCCCACCTACCTCACAGGGTGTCTGTTGTGGGGAGAGGAAGGGAAAGGAGTTTGTAAGCCTCTCTGAGATTCCAAGTGAAGGGTGGGGTATAAATCCAGTCTCCTCCTCCTTCTCCTTCTTGAGAACCATTTATACGGATCTGAAGGAAGTCCAGGAAAAGTGTGCTAGATAGATTCTCAAGAAAATAAAGTTGCACCAGGCACAGGAGAGAAAAAACAGGGCCAAGGCCAATGGTGCAAAATCAGGTAGAAGTATATTTTTTTACTCAGTTCAAAAAAAATTCATTACACATTTCACCAACGGGCTTCGTCAGGGGAATATATACTATATCTGGGACAGAATAAGCTCTAGGGGTTTTGCATGTGACTGATATTTTAGGACCTGGATTTTAACTTTTAATATAATACTGCAAGGAGATCAAATCAGTCAGTCCTCAAAGAAATCAACCCTGACTGTTCCCTGGAAGGCCAGATAATGAAACTGAAGCTCAAAGACTTTGGCCACCCAATGAGAAGGGAGCACTCCCTGATGCTGGGAAAGATTGAAGGTCGAAGAAGACGGGGACGGCAAAGGATGAGATGGTTAGACAGTGTCATAGATGCAACGAACGTGAAATTGAGCCAACTTCAGAGGACGGCGGAAGACAGGAAGGCCTGGCGTGATGTGGTCCATGGGGTCGCGAAGAGTCGGACTTGACTGTGCGACTGAACAACATTAACAACATAATACTTTATTTATATAAATTTTAAGTGTACTTCTGTAAACTCAATGTTGTTATTATATGTATTACACATTTCCCTGATGGAGCCTGTTGTCGAAACCTGTAGGGAATTTCTGGAAATTTAACTGAATAATAAAAAATATACTTTTACCTGATTTTGCACCATTGGCCTTGGGCCTATTTTTTAATCTTCTAGTTAGAGTCTCACAATGGCACTGTGTAGAAGGTTAGGCCGGCGGAGACTGGCTTGAGGTCAGTGAGACTGGCCCAAAGTCACACCAGCAGCTGCATGTGGAGGAGTGGGGGACTCAAACCCGGTTCTCCCAGATTAGAGTCTGCGCACTTTAACCACTGCACCAAACTGGTTCTCTATCTGGAATCAACATTCCCTCTAATTTTTTTTCCTGCTG